TGAACTCCTGACTTTTTTTATCAAAGATAGATGCCTGAACCATTTGAACTATACTCGGTTTGGCGAGGCTCGAGTCAGATAGTAGAAACTGATAAAGAGAGATAAGTATCTTTTCGGCTTTTTTTTTAAGAAATAGTATATGGAAAGCTTAGGGAGCTCTCGAATTTACTCCTAGCTTGTACCCTCCAAACATAAATAATAGACTCGAGATATTATTAGGATGTTGAGAAGATCTTAAGGAACTTCTAAGGGTGGTTCCCATCTAATCAGATTCTAAAAAGTGTGTCTCTCATTGGCTAACGGTGGTGTAGAACTGATAAACATGGAAAAATAGAAAAAAAATATATCGCCACTTCTTAGATAACTACAAAGATTTCCCTCGGAAAGGAAAGGCCCTGCCCTTTGGCATAAAATTACAATTCACAAGTACTATGTTGCTCCTAGAGATCGGTTACAAAGGTATGATTTATTCCTCGCCTTGACCATTATTCTTTAGGCTGCGTGCTCTGTAACTTCTCTCATCCCTTCCATGGATAGTTCCACTTCACTTAATTTTGGATTTCATTGTCTTCTGGTAGGGTAGAGAAATGACTTATGGTGTAGCTCTATTATATGTTTTGAGCAAATTCTGTGTTCGTCCAAAAATCCAAGACATTTGTTTTTACGCTGATCCTACTAAGGGGTTTTCTTGTAGCTATTTCTTCCATTCTTTTGTATGTTCTCGTCTCATCCCTCCAAACCTCTTTATTTCTCCATTCCCGAGGCCAACTTATTTTGTTTGGTATATCCCGAATAGGAGAGTTAGACTGTGGCGTTCTTCTACTTTGTTGGGGATATGGTCCATATCCTCTGGAGCTATTAGCTTGCCTTTTTGATCTATAGTTGCTCTTTAGAGTCATTTGGTGTTCATTTGACTTGTAATAGACATTGTTGTTTAATGATGAAAGATATTTTCTTACACTTTGTCGTTATGAGATATAAGATGAGATCCTCAATGCGGAACTTGTTTTACAGTTTTATAGGGCATTTAGCCCGAGAGGAATAGGGAAAATTTTAAACTTGACTCTCTTTTGTTTTTTCCAAGAACCCTTATGATTAAGGTTTAGGCCTTAACTTTGGGATCGGAACCAGTGTTTGTCTTTTTAGTTCAGGTTTTGTTTCGACTCTTCTTGTTGGGCCATCTTTTGGTTGAAAAGAAACAATAGAATCTTTAGGGGTAGAGAGAGAATGGGAGTCTATTTGAGATCTCGTAAGGTTTAATGTCTCTTTATGGGAGTCTGTTTCGAATTTATTTTGTAATTATCAAAACGTACTATTCTTTTGGATTGAAAACCCTTTCTTTAGACTGACTTCCTTTGTCTGCGTCGTTGTTCTTGTATGCCCTTGTCTTTGTTTTTGTTTTCATTCGTCTCAATGAAAGTTCGGTTTCTTATAAAAAGACTGTAAAAAGAAGCTCAATTTTCCATCGAGAAACCGTTACACGTCTATTTACACCACCATAAATATCTTGTGGCCTTACCATCTCCATCTTGCTATGGATAACGTCAACTGTTGTAGATTTTTGGAGGATCAATAGAGTGGATTAGTTCAGTTTTTTAGAATCTTCTTCTAGGAAGGAACCTTGATATGAAAAAGTCAAGGGGTGAACTTATCCTACAGGCAAACTCTGTTCCTTTCCGTACAAATCCCATCTTAAGAATCTTTACATCGTTTCCTCTTTCTTTGTCGTCCTATTGTATGGAGCTTTGGAGGAGACATTTTTTTTTAATATTAGAAAGAATTGTGGCCTAATGCCAATAGAATTATTTTCTGGGCATGGTAGTTAGAAGGAAATAGAAGATCCAAAAGGAGAAATAGAGGTTGCAGTCATTTAGGAAATTGAATCTTGTCTTTTCATGCATTGCTCCTTTGCATCTCAAACTTGGGTTTATGTGGCTTCTCTCTTGGATTCTCTCTCTGTCTCCCTCAGTATATTGAGGATTTCATAGCTGAAGGTTTC